GAAGGAGTACCAGAAGCCATACAGAAGCTTTATGGTGTGACAGGACATTCTACAAGATTGTGGGGACCAGTGTGGGTAACTATTGAGCTCATGGGCATAAAAGACGAATGCATATTAGGATTGGACTGTCTATCTACTACCAAGGAAGTTTGTAATTGATCTTCATAAAATGACATTTGGGAATAACAAAGGCCAAGTTCCGATAACTGTTAAAAGAGAGGTTGAACTAATTAGGTGCCATCAAGGTAAAGTCAAAGTGACTGAAGAAGTTGATGATGGTAAAGTGAAACCAAATATGGATATCAAAGCAGAACAGGAGAAAGACCAAGATTTGAAGCTTATAATCGATTTCCTAAAAACAAGTGTTTTTCGCCCTGCTTGGGAGAAGGTATCTAGTATAAGCCCTGTGACAAAGCACTATTGGGCACACTGGGACCAGCTGAAGCTTGAAAATGGTATTCTTGTCCGGAGATGGGAAAGTGACGACTTGGCAAACAGTTATACCAAGGAAGTTACGGGAAGTTGTGCTGCGTCAATCCCATGATAATTTAACAGAAGGATATCTTAGAATTAAGAAAACATTGAGTCACCTACGACAAATATTTTACTGGATAAGTATGAGGCAAATGTGGAAGAATGGTGCAGGACATGCAGTACATGTAGTGCTAAAAGGGGACCCAAGCGTAAGGGATGCCCACCTTATGAAGAGTTGCCTGAAAATGTGTCAGAGTTTGTGAAAGTGCTATTGGAAAGGATGGATGATATCCACCATCAAGTGCGATCAAACTTGAAAACGTCTGCTGATTCGATGAAGTTAACTTATGATAAGAGATCTACTGAAGTCAGCTTTGAACCAGGAGACAAGGTGTGGTTGTATAATCCCAGGAAGACCAAAGGGAAGTCTCCTAAGTTGTCATCTCCATGGGAAGGCCAATATGACATAGTGGATCGTCTCTCAGACGTGATTTTCCGGGTAAAATGTGGTCGGCGAAGTAAGCCAAAAGTGGTGCATGCCAACAGGATTTGACGTTATCATGGTCCAGGACATTTCAGTTGGGACGAAGTGGACAACAGAACAAATGACGCTGCTGAAGACGTGCCACCTGAAGAAGCCATTTATTAGACCAACATGTAGTTGATAATAGTTATTAGACCAACATTTAGTTAATAATAGTTATTAGACCAACATGTAGTTAATAATAGTTATTAAACCAACATTTAGTTAATAGTAGTGTTACGTCTCCGTTTCTTAATTGATTTTCCGTAACTTCGTTCCGACGAAACTTTAACGACACAAGTCTTTACTTAATAAAACTGGTTTATTCTTTCCGAATATAACTCTGCGATACACTTAATCTCAATACTCGCGCTAAAACAACACTGTAACGAACGAACGTTAACTTCAACAATACCCTGTGACTGCAGTTCAATTACTCACTATCCACTCATACACATTACCTTAATCTCGCGTCACGTTGTCCCCTCTTATATATACCAAACTACCCTATATCTAGAAAATACTAGAGCATTCGCCAAAATACGGGATAGTTCTAGAAACGTGGCGTCACTGTAGTCATGTGATCTCGATGACGCAACACTGCCCCTCCTTAATATTGTTCGTCCCGAACAATAACCACATACAATAAACCAATAACAATTAACAATCACTTAATTAACTGTACAGAATTACAAAGACAAAATTACAATTCAACAAAGTCTCTTAATTTTTCGGGACGTATCTTCTTCCGTACTGGTCTCCGTCTCGTTGGCTTCTGCTTCATGTGGGATTCATCTGCTTCATCAGTAAATGTCCTATCATCAGTAACAGTCACATCAGTGTTAGTAACATCACCAAGAGCTTCACCATTTCCCTTCTCCAAACTAAGTAGAGTTTCTTCTTCCACGGTTATTATTAACTACATGTTGGTCTAATAACTACTATTAACTACATGTTGGTCTAATAACTACTATTAACTAAATGTTGGTCTAATAACTACTGTTGCGTCATCGAGATCACGTGACAATTCTCACGCTCTCTTGTTTCTAGAACTATCCCGTATCTTGGCGAATGCTCTAGTATTTACTAGATAGAGGGTAGGCTGGTATATAAAAGAAGGTAATGTAATGCGTGTGAGTAGATAGTGAGTAATTGAACTGCAGTCACAAGGTATTGTTGAAGTTAACGTTCGTTCGTTATAGTGTTTGTTTTAGCGCGAATATTGAAATTAAGTGTGTCGTAAAGTTGTATTCAGAAAGAATAAACCAGTTTTATTAAGTAAGGACTTGTGTCGCTAAAGTTTCGTCGGAAACGAAGTTACGGAAAGTTAATTAACAAACGGAGACGTAACAAATTGGTGTCAGAGAGTGGGATAAAAACAAATGGAAAGAGAAGCGGCAAATCAAACTACAGCATAGCAGACTTGATGGCTGCAATACAAGAGCAGCAAAAGAAACAAGAAGAACGAGAAAATGAACGTCTTCTCGTTCTTCTTGTTTCTTTTCTTTTTCCTCCAACAACTGTTGTAATTTCTCTTCTCGCTCTTCTTGTTTCTTTTCTTTTTCCTCTAACAACTGCTGTAATCTCTCTTCTAATGAACGAGAAAAGAAACAAGAAGAACGAGAAATTAAACAAGAAGAGAGATTACAGCAGTTGTTAGAGGAAAATGAAAATAAACAAGAAGATAGACAATAGCAGTTGCAAGAAAACCTGCAACAGTGGCAGCTCGAACAGCAAAATAAACAAGAGAGATTACAACAGTTGTTGGAGGAAAAAGAAAAGAAACAAGAAGAACGAGAAATTAAACATGAAGAGACATTACAGCATTTGTTAGAGGAAAAAGAAAAGAAACAAGAAGAACGAGAAAAGAAACAAGAAGAGAGATTACAGCAGTTGTTGGAGGAGAAAGAAAATAAACAAGAAGAGAAATTACAGCAGTTGTTAGAGGAAAAAGAAACAAGAAGAACGAGAAAAGAAACAAGAAGAGAGATTACAGCAGTTGTTGGAGGAGAAACACAATAAACAAGACGAGAAATTACAGCAGTTGTTGGAGGGAAAAGAAACAAGAGGAACGAGAAAAGAAACAAGAAGAGAGATTACAGCAGTTGTTGGAGGAGAAAGAAAATAAACAAGAAGAGAAATTACAGCAGTTGTTGGAGGGAAAAGAAACAAGAGGAACGAGAAAAGAAACAAGAAGAGAGATTACAGCA